ACCGCACTCATAACAGTGCGGTGCTCCTCGTCGATGGAGGCACCGTTAAGCACCTCCAGCAAATTGTCCGGTGTCTCCGGTTGGATGGAGGCCGCCGGCGTCGTAGGCGCACCTTTCTTACGAAGGCGCCTCCTGCCGGACTCCGGAACCGTTGTTGGTTCCGGAGCGGTGTCCGGGCCGGGGCCGGACTTAGATCCCTCTAGGGTTTTACCCCTTTTGGGCCTGGAGTCCGGGAGGTCGCCTTGCGGCGCCTCCAGAACCACCTCCTCCTGGTCTAGTCCCTTTTGGGACTCCACCTCGGCGTCGTCCGTAGGAAGGGGGAGGAGGCGGTCGAAAGTGAAGCACTATTCATATCCGACGAATCCAGGGAGCCGCTCGACGAATCGCTGAGCTGAGCCTTGGGCGGACTGCATGATCGAATTCGGCGTCAGAAGGTACCATACATTAGAGGAGCGCCGTAAGTTATTCTGGTACCCGGATACTTACATTTTGCCAGGGGCTTGACCCTGGATGGCCATTCCTCCCCGCCGTCTTCGGCATCGGAGGTGTAGTCCGGCAGAAGGGTCCTCCCCTTCTTGGACCATCCGGCCTCCCCAGTTGGGGCGGCCTTCCTCTTCTTTCCTCGCCCCGCTGGAGGGGGAGAGGCTTCTTCTTCTTCCTCCTCCTCGTCCTTAGAGGCGGAGGGTGCTTCAGGGTCGTCGGTCGATGAATCCGACACCACCAGGCGCCGGGAACTCTTTCGGGTCCCCGTGGCCTTCTTCTTGGCCTTCTTCTCCGGCACCACGTGAGGTGCCGGAACCAGTAGCTTCGTCAAGCGTGCGTCTGCTGGGCCTTCGGGCAAAGGGGCCGGGCAGTCAAACTGTCCGGATGTCCTCTTCCAGTCCTGTCAAAGGAGCAGGAGTTTAGATCCTGCATGGAATCAAACTATGAAAATCAAGTGTCCCGAGAAAGACTAAAAGCAAGCTTACTTCGGTGGCTTGGCGCTTGGCGCAGAATCCGCGATCCTCGGTGACGGGTGGGGAGACCTCGAAGCTCTTGAATAGCAGCTTCCAAGCGTCCTCGTGTTTTGTGTCAAAAAGCCGAGACAGAGTCTGGTGCTGGGCCGGGTCGAACTCCCACAAGGTGAAGGCCCGTCGTTGACTCGGGAGAATCCGGCGGAAGAGCATGACCTGGACTATGTTGACAAGCTTAACCTTCTTGTTCACCAGATCTCGGACACAGGTTTGGAGTCCGGTCACCTCTTCCGGACTACCCCACAACAGGCCCGTCTCCTTCCAAGATGTGAGCCGAGTGAGGATGCCGGATCGGAATTCGGGGGCCACCGCCCATTCAGGGTCACGCGGCTCAGTGATATAGAACCACCCCGACTGCCATCCTTTGATGGTCTCTACGAAGGCGCCCTCGAGCCATGTAACGTTGGCTATCTTGCCCACCATGGCGCCTCCGCACTCCGCTTGACGTCCGCCCACGACCTTCGGCTTGACACTGAAGATCTTAAGCCATAGGCCAAAGTGAGGTTGGATGCGGAGGAAGGCCTCACATACGACGATGAACGCCAAGATGTTGAGGATGAAGTTCGGGGCCATATCGTGGAAGTCCAGGCTGTAGTAGAACATGAGCCCCCGGACGAACGTGTGAAGAGGAAAGCCCAGTCCGCGGAGGAAATGGGGGAGAAACATGACCCTCTCATGGGGCCCAGGGGTGGGGACGAGTTGCCCCTCCTCAGGAAGCCGGTGCGCGATGTCGTCAGACAAGTATCCGGCCTTCCTCAACTTTTTGATTTGCCCCTCCGTGACGGAGGAGGCCATCCATCTACCTCCCGCTCCAGACATGATTGGAGAAAGGTCGAGGTGGGAAGTGCAGACTTGGGCGCTGGAGTTCGAGTGCGCAGGGATGGATAAGCAAGGGAGGAAGAAGGTGTACATGGAAAGGGTGGATCCTTATCCCCTTATATGGGCGGCCGAGACTATAAGCCCCCACCAGCCCAATAAAACTCGCTTATCTCCCAAGCGCCACGGTTAATGGCGCGGTTGGGTTACCCACGCCCGTATTGATAAGAATCCCGGAATAAGGGGACACGATCTCTGCTTTGACAAGACGTGCCAAGGAAACCACCTCACTAAACGCGTTGAGGTGGAACAGTAAAACGATTTGAATAAAGACTTGGCCGTGGCGTGATGTCACGCTGCGGAATACGTCAGCAGATTAGATTTGTGCAGATATTATTCTCTCTACGGTGGTATGTGGAACTTATTTTGCAGAGCCGGACACTATCCTTGTGTTCAACGTCTTCTATGGAGTATTCGGAGGAGGAACCCGCCTTGCAATGCTGAAGACAATTTGCGCGCCGGACTCGTCGTCATTGAAGCCTGGTTCAGGGGCTACTGAGGGAGTCCTGGATTAGGGGGTGTCCGGATGGCCGGACTATGACCTTTGGCCGGACTCCCGGACTATGAAGATACAAGATTGAAGACTTCGTCCCGTGTCCGGATAGGACTTTCCTTGGCGTGGAAGGCAAGCTTGGCGATATGATATGAAGATCTCCTCCCATTGTAACCGACTCTATGTAACCCTAGCCCTCTCCGGTGTCTATATAAACTGGAGAGTTTTAGTCCCAAGGACGAACAACAATCATACCATAGGCTAGCTTCTAGGATTTAGCCTCTCTGGTCTCGTGGTAGATCAACTCTTGTACTATCCATATCATCAATATTAATCAAGCAGGAGTAGGGTTTTACCTCCATCGAGAGGGCCCGAACCTGGGTAAAAACATCGTGTCCCTTGTCTCCTGTTACCATCCACCTAGACGCACAGTTCGGGACCCCCTACCCGAGATCCGCCAGTTTTGACACCGACAGGCGCATTATACCCTGGTGCGCCATTACTAATTTTGAAAAATAAAATTGATTTTTAAAAAAAAAATTTACTAGTGGCGCACCGTGGCTGTGGTGCGCCATTATTAGTTTAACTAGTAATGACGCACTATCCCCTGGTGCGCCATTACTAGTTTTGAAAAAAAAAATGTTACTAGTGGCGAACCGTGCATGTGGTGCGCCATTAGTATTTGGACACTAATGACGCACCAACACATGGTGCGTCATTAGTATATAGTAGTGGCGCACCACATGTCTGGTGCGCCATTAATGTCCATATCATCTATAGCCCTTTTCCTAGTAGTGTTATGTCCTTCACCCCGACTCCCATGACCAGGCGCTACTCCTAAAAACCAGGCGCTACTCCTAAAAGCCGAAGAGCAGCTTGGAGGAATCCGACGTGGTCAAGAAGTTGTGCCAGAAGATCTCGAAGCTGGTAGAAGAGGGATTGACACTCGAGGAGGTCATGCGTGTTGCCCTCAGTCGAGGAATCTAGTCACTACAAGCCCGGGTGCACCTGTTGTGGGAGTACAACGGGGTGGACGACTCTACCTGGGCCACCGAGGTGCCTTCTATGAGGGCAAGTACATTGGAGAAATGCTCTAGCTCATGTTTAAGGTCATGACAATCAATTTCCTCAATGGCGCCACCGACGGCGGATTCTCTTCCATAGTGCTTGTAGTGGAGGTAAACACATGCCCTATCTTTCTAGTTGATGATCAATTCGGGTTATATGTCTTGATAGTCTACTTGTTGTCATAGCCATGGCGCACCTGGACGGCCAACGTACATCAGCTTCCCGTCTCTACAACACGAATACCCCCACCCATATTGCTGATTTGGCTTTGATCCGAGGATACCACTAGGACCACCGCTCCTGTCACGTGTGTCAAGGGACCTGTGATCATGGTCGACCTCGACGACAACAATGACACATGGCACATCCACCTTGGGTGCCGCCAGGCAGGATCCGCCTGAGGAGACACGACGGGAGAAGTGCCAAGAGGTGCCGAAGGACTAGGCACCTCAAACGGACGCCCTGCCTATCTTGACCGCCCACTTCCATGCGTGCTAGGGGCGCCGCGGGGCTACTACCCGCAGCTTTTGGTTTGGTGTTGGGGCACTAACGTGCTCAAATCCTCTATCTTTTAACCAGGGTCGAGCCGCTGGGAAGTGTAATACCCCACATCCTGCTAGCTTTTATTAACTGAAAGTGATTAACTGGTTGTACTATGATGAACTTTCCTTGTTGGATTTTGCCGGGCCAGGGAAAGTGCACTCACGCGTACGGAAATAAACTCTGAGGGAGTCAAACCTCTATCTAGCTACGTAGCATGGGCCTCCTTTTATAGTCACAAGGGGTCACTATAGTGGCTACAAGGTAGCGGGTACACTATATATACAGTGAATACCTATCACATTAAATGTGGGGGCATGTGTCTTCATATCTCGTCGCCCCAGTTGAAAGCATGTCTTGCCGTAACATAGCAGACTTTTACTGGCACACCACTTTTACGCAGCACGTTGCAGATGATGTGTCCCCCGCATGGTAAAAGGGGGGGGTGGTGAATCACCTTGGGTGCCTCCTAACCCTGTGGAGGTGTGTACTCTGCTTGACAACTTGCCATGCACCATCGCACACCGCAATATACCTGTACTTAGCCCCGCCACATTAGCCATGCGCCTGACAGCCTCTGACTGGTTATTCACGGTGCGGAAGCCGATGGCGGGGCGATAGTGGATGAGGGAGCTGTCGCCGGGGGGCAGAACCCTTCTAGGGTAATCTTGGCCTTGACATTGTTAGTGGTGCCAGGGGACTCTTCCTCAAGTGTAATTTGTCTTGTCGGTGAGAGTCTTGACAAAGACCTGCATACCACCATGTTGCCACGGGCAGTGTGGAAGTACGGATTCCTTGTGGATGTTGTAGTTAGCAAGGCTGCGATCACCCTTGAGCTGCGTGCCAGCAGCGAGGTAACCACCACTTCCTTTGAGGTAGGCTTCCTCTCTCTTGGATCTTGACGAAGATCTCCGTGCCAAACCCCGAGCCAAACCGGCGGCAACCATGCGGCAACGGCCGAGGAAGGTAACACCAAGGAGGCCGCCGAGATCACCAAAGGCAACCTACCCATGCCCAATCTTGGTATGCGCGTCCGAACGCCCACATATCCGCCCAATCGTTTAGATGCTCTAGGCGTTCTTCTCAAAATTAAACTAGCGTCGGTTGTTAGATGAGTGTACATATGGACGAGAAATACCTAACGTTTTGGTCATGTGCTGCTTTACCTCGAAGGCGTTATACACGTGCCCTTCACAGACAGCACACCAGCTGCCACACCCGCACCAGTCCATATCACTCTGTCGAGCAGATGAGATCAACAGCTCAGAGGGAGCTCCCCGCACTCCTCTTCCTCCTCCGCTTGCTACTTCCAATCAAGTAATCCATCCCATCCATGGTCGCAAGCCCCCACGCAGCAGCGGCACTATCTCCGCACTCAGCCCGCCGGTAGCCCTCCTCCCGCGGACACATGGCCTGGAGGCGGCTCGCCTCCCACTCCCGCCGCTGCCCCGTCCCCATCATCCCCGCCGCCCCGCGGCCCGCGGCGCCGCGCCCAACGGCGGGACCCGCCGCGGCCACGCCGCCGCTGCGCCGTCTCCTCCTCCCCCTCTCCCCGCCCCGCTTCGCAACCGTCGCCGCCGCCGCCTCGCCCGCGCGGCTGTTCCACGGAAGGAGCAGGTGGCTCGCGAGCGACGCCTCCGCCTGCGCGGCGAGGGAGCCCTCCGCCGAGCTGGTGGAGGTGCCCCTGGCGCAGACGGGGGAGGGGATCGCCGAGTGCGAGCTGCTGCGCTGGTTCGTCAGCGAGGTGCGCCTCATCTCATCTACGCCGCCTCCTTCCTCTGTCACTGCTTGCTTCCACTTCGAACTCTGCTTTGGGAAATATTTTGGGGAATTCTACTGTCAGTTGCGCTGCACACTAGCAATTAGGAATACTATGTAGTTTGAGCATGGTGAGGTTCGACCGCTTGTCGGTTGCCCGATTGGGATGGTGTTTGCTTCGCCTATAATCTGAACTAGTATAAGATAGTGCTCCTGCCTATAATCTGAAGAATGTGCTGCTCGATTCGAACCCAATCTTGTCTGTTTTGTGTTTATTTCTTTACTTGCATCTCAATTTGGGGGTTGTTCTTTGACTTGCTCATTTGGCAGGGCGACCAAGTAGATGAATTTCAGCAGCTCTGTGAGGTACAGAGCGACAAAGCAACCATTGAAATTACAAGTCGTTTCAAGGGAACAGTACATCAGATTCAGTTTGCCCCTGGTGACATAGTAAAGGTAGCTTCGGATGATTACCAGTTTACAGTATAAAAATTTCCTTTTATTGTTGATACTGGTATTCCTTTTTTATTAGATGGTGGAATGCTGCTAATATTATTATTCCTCTGGGAGTCCTTTCAGTCTGAATAGATTTATTTGACTGTCTCCTTAATTTTCTGAAGTCAATGTGTGCTTCTTAGGTCGGTGAAACCTTACTTAAGATGATTGTCAACGGCAGTCAAGTTGTACCTCATGATAGCCTAGCTTCATCCCCTGACATTCAACCTGGAGCGGATACTTCTACAAGTCCTTCAAGGGAAGGCAATGCTCCTCGTGGGTCTCTCTCCACACCAGCCGTCAGGCATCTAGTGAAGCAGTATGGGCTCAACATAGATGATATTCAGGGTACAGGAAAAGATGGTAGAGTTTTGAAAGAAGATGTGCTGAATTACGCTGCCAGAAAGGGTCTTCTCCAGGAGCCGCCATCAGCTTCGGAAGAGAATGTTGGTCAAGTTGAGTTAGAGGGAGGAAAACCATTACTTGATCCACAGTTTTATGAAGATAAGAGAATTCGTCTCAGGTATTACAACTATTCTTTATAACCTGCTTTGATATGGTTGGTCACATGCATAAGCACTAGTCCATAACGGGAACATGTCTTTCTTCAGGGGATACCAGAGAGCAATGGTGAAATCAATGACCCTGGCTGCAAAAGTACCACATTTTCATTATCTGGAGGAAATAAACTGTGATGCTCTTGTACAACTTAAGGCATCATTTCAAAAGGAGAATAAAGACCATGATGTCAAGCATACCTTCCTTCCATTCCTCATAAAATCTCTTTCTGTGGCACTTAGTAAATATCCATTGTTGAACAGCTCTTTCATTGACGAAACAAATGAAGTTATTCTCAAAGGTATGCAATCTCTGAGTTTCCACTCTTGTCACCATCATCCTGGAAAATGATCTTAAAACAATTCAGGGATATATCATATCCTTGGTTTTCTTTGTGCGTGCCTATATGTAAACCAGGAAATTGCACCTGTCAAACCGTGTAGCTCTCCTTATTAACCAACCTCTAACAAAAAAGAAAAACCATGCACTGCTTCTGTTGGTCTGGATGTTCTCCAAGTACCGTGTCTTATAGGCTAGATTTCGTTTTATCTGTTTGCTAATTTGCAATAAGCCAGGAAAAAAATTCTCCACAAAAAAAGTTTTCAATAAGATAGGAAGCGTGATTTCTAAATAATACTGTTAGATTTTTTTCTTCCTTCCAAAGTGCGCCATATAAAGACATTTATGTGATTATTTCACTGCAAACTACCTTTTGTGCTGAAGGTATCATGACACTGGTTTGTAATTTGTGTATTAGGATTCCATAACATCGGAGTAGCTATGGCTACAGAACAGGGATTAGTGGTGCCAACCATCAAGAAAGTCCAGTCACTTTCTATATTGGAGGTCAGCAACAATTCTTTTCTTCCTTAATTCATGATAAATTTGTATGCTAAAAAGTAATAATGTATTCAGATGACAACCTAGACAAATTTTGGAAAGATTTGCAGTTAGGCTCCCTATTAGACTGAATATTTCCGTAAACGATTGACTATAAACCTGTAGTCCATTTTTTGTTTGCCGGAAATAACTTGTATTAACCTGAGTCCATTCAATCACATCTTCATTGGGACATAGTTTCTTTTGTGACTTGCCTGCCCAATATTTTTTCCATGATTACACCAGATCACAAAGGAATTGTCAAGATTACATGAGATGGCACTGCAAAACAGACTAAGCACCAACGATATCACCGGTGGAACCATAACACTGAGCAACATAGGTGCCATCGGTGGCAAGTTTGGCTCTCCTGTTCTCAACCTGCCCGAAGTTGCGATCATTGCGCTCGGCCGCATTCAGAAGCTCCCTCGCTTTGATGATGACGAAAACGTTTACCCGTCCTCGACAATCAATGTATGATCATTGCCGTACATACATACCTAGCGCTGGGCTTACATTGCTTTGCACTTGCACTTACTCGGACATCCTGTTGTATGCCATGCAGGTGACCGTTGGAGCCGATCACAGAGTCGTCGACGGTGCCACGGTTGCAAGGTTTTGCAACGAGTGGAAAAGCCTGGTGGAAAAGCCAGAGCTGCTCTTGCTGCACATGCGATGATCCAGCAAGTTACCTGGATGCAGAGGGTCGCTTGGTCGAATTCCAAAGATGCTGAAATTCAGGCACTCTGCCATCTGAAGTTCAGATGCAAACGTATGGAATGCCAGGTTGGTAGATAGGGCCATAAAGAGTCAATCAACTCAAGTATATGTAACTAATAATTGATTGACGTGACCTGTTTTATGCAAGCTATGTGATCACCCTGTGAATATTTGTATATTACATTGGAAATAAAGCTACAGAAGCAAAATTCATGTGGAAGTGTCAAAAGTAAATGTGGGAGCCAAAGTGTCATTCTAGTCTCCGAGCTCATATACACCTGCAATGAACAAAAAAATAGGAAAACAAAATCAAAATATTTTGAATTTTTTGCAACAAACATTGCTTTGTTTTCTGCCTGCATATAATTTTGTGATGATATGTTATTCATGAATGTGTGGGAAAATAATCAGTGCTCCAAACTGCTTTTAAAAAACTTCTGTAACATTCATCCATGTTTATAAAAAATAATTTTTATTTTGTTTACTACTCCCTTCGTCCCTAATTATTTGTCGCGGACATGGATAAAAATAGATGTATCTAGAACTAAAAATGCGTATAGATACATCCATTTATGCGACAATTAATTTCGGACTGAGGGAGTACCTTTTTATATTTTATTGTTCATCCAGTTGCATCTTCACCTGTGAACAGAAACTCTATGCCTGGGAGTATACCTGGCCATCCCTCGGGCCAGACCTAACCAAGCCCGACATAGAAAACCCAGGCCCGGGTCAGGCGTCGGGCCTAGAATTCAGGCCCAAGCCTAGCCCATTAGTGTAAAAGCCCATTGGGCCTCGGGCCGGGCCTTTTCATTAAATCAAAAATATGGAGGGCTTGGACCCGGCCCGGGCTTCAGGCTCAAAATCAAGGCTGAGGCCCAGCCTGTGAGCAGTATCAGGCTGGGCTGGGTCGGGTCGGGCTGCCCATGGCCAGGTATACCTTGGAGCGGATTTTTCCTCTCCTTTTCTTTTGAGGACCGGGAGTGGATTTTGGGACTTCCTATCTGCCACATTATGTGGCAGAATGTCCAGGCTACGCATATGGCAGTCCCTCGACTGGGCTGGCCGAGGAAGGCAGCGAGCAGTGCAAAAAATAAATGATTAAAAACGCAGCGCTTCAGCCAGGATTCGAACCGCGACTGCGAGCCTGTAGACTTGCGTAGCTAGCCACCACGCCAGACTTTGAACATGGGTGAAATTGAATTGCGGGTCCTTTAGACCTATGATATCTAAAGAATCGGATTATTTTTCCTTTTTCCTATCATTTGTTGTAAATTCTGAATATATTATTTGAAAAGTACGAACGTTTTTAACAGAACACAAACGAGTTTTGAAAAAGTTTTAGCAATTTTTATAATTTTTAACCAAATTTGAAAAACAGGAACAACTTTGAAGTTGTGGACAAATATTGAAAAACAGGAACATTAATTAAAATTACGATCATTTTTTTATAAAAAGAAAATGTTCTTAGAAAATGTGAACAATATTCTGAATAGTGATTTTTTTTAAAAACATAAACATTTTTTGAACTTGTGAACAAATCTTGAAAAGCAGGAAAATTTTCTAAATTCCAAACATTTTTTGAATCTAGAATTTTTTTTTTTGAAATTGAGAACAAAATTTGAACATAAATATTTTCTAAAAGTACGAACATTTTTTGAATCTTGAGAACAAATTTTGAAACGAAGAACAAATTTGGACAATTTCTTAAAGCATGAACATTTTTTGAATCTTGAGAACAAATTTTGAAATAGAGAACAAATTTGGAAGCATGAACAATGTATTAAAGCACGGACATTTTTTGAATATTTAGAATTTTTTTTTGAACAGAGAACAAATTTGAAAATACCAAACAAATTTGGAAGCGCGAACATTTTTTAAACAATTTTTGTAAATTCCGAACAGTTTTTGAAAAATGCATGCAATTTTTGAATTTGTGAACAAAATTTGAAAAGACGAATTGTTTTCAAATTCTTATCATTTTGGTAAAAGCGCGAACATTTTTTTGAAAAAGAAAACATAAACTTGAAAAAAAAGGAACAGAAATAGAAAAAGAAAGGAAAAAACCGGTTCTGGAACCTTCTAGAAGGTTCCCAAAACCGGAAAAAACCTGCTGGAAACCTCTAGAAGGTTCACAAAACCGGGAGCGCTGGAATGGTTCAACGGGCCGGCCCGTTCCGTTGCTGCTCGGTCGCTCGCCTGTTGCGAAGCGCCGGCAGTTTGACGCAACGAGCGGCATATAGGATTTTCCGTGGATTTTGTTAGTAGGTTGAGTAAGGTTGGATACAGTTGGACCGGGCTTAATTGCAGATGACCGTCAATAAAAGGTCAAAATTGGATACATTTTGGACGGCGAAATTGGATAGCCCAGTGTCCATTGTATTGTTGCCTCTTGTACAGTGCATTGTGGGCGCATCTTTGTCTCGCTGTATGCGAGACGAAAGAATCTATCACCCTACATGGCCCGGCCCATCACGGGAGGTGCGCTGTCTTCCTATCACAGTTTTTTTCTTTTTCTGTTTTATTACTTTTATGTATCTTTATGAAATGGAACCATATTTTCTAAAAAAGATTAAAAATGTTCATCGCACATTTAAAAAAATTGATATAGTATAAAATAATGTTGATAGCATTCAAAGGTGTTTGTGGTATTTAAAATTTGTTTACAAGTTTGATAAAAATGTTTGTGACCTATTTTAACATTTTATACAATGTAAACCAATGTTGAAATAATTCAAAAAAATGTGGTATACCAGTAAAACATGTTTAATACATTTTTAAGAAATGTGCACTTATTTCAAAAAATATTTGTGACATTTCTTTAAAAGTATGTAAATGTACGAAAATGATTGTGTAGTATAAAAAATGTTTTGTGCCATTAAATAAAATGTTCAATGTGTATTTGAATTTTTGCTAACATGTGTTATAGAAAGTTTCAAAAAAATCATTTCAAAAAACCTACATCATGTATTTAAAAAATGTTCAATGTCAGTCAAAAATATATTCCACATATATACTAAAAATGTGTAGCAAGGAACTGTGGAACCAAGGGAGTGCAATGTGTATTGAAAAAAAATACACATGTAAAAGAAAAAGGAGGAAAGGAAAAAAAATCCAAAAGAAAACCAGTTAATAAAAAAGCCCAGTAAAAACCAAAAAAACCGATGGAAATGGAACACAAAAAACAATCAGGTAAATGTTACTAAAGCCGATCCTAAAAAAGAAGTACTAAAGCCAGTCTAAACTTGTAAATCAATACATGACTAGTAGAACGCCCGTGCGTTGCTACGGGCTACAATGCTTATAAATGAATCAAACAAATGATAAAGGTCGTCTCCGAGGCCAAAGCTCATTTCTTCCTCGTACGTTCGAGCGTGTTCAGACATCAAACGGACGCTCATATTTTCAACACATAGAGAAGAAACTCGATATTATTGGGATATGTAAAAGCATATGTCCCTCTCTTATAATAATTTTCAGTAGCATCATGAATGGATTCAACAATATAACTTTCACATAAATCATTCTTTTCATGATTTACAAGCATAGAAATTTTTATACTCTCCACATAAGCAAATTTATTCTCATTCATAGTAGTGAGAGCAAACTCAACAAAATAACTATTATGTGAGACATAATTCAATTAAAAATTAAAATCAAGATGACAAGTTTCATGGTTATCATTATTCTTTATAGCATACATTTCATCACAATAATCATCATAGATAGCAACTTTGTTCTCATAATCAATTGAACCTCTTCCGAAATAGTGGATTCATCACTAAATAAAGTCATGACCTCTCCAAATCCACTTTTATCAAAATTGTGAAAAGATTCGACACCCTCCAAAATAGTGGGATCATTACTTCCTAAAATTGACACTCTTCGAAACCCACTTTCATCAATATAATCATCATAAATAGGAGGCATGCTTTCATTATAATAAATTTTCTCATCAAAACTTGGGGGACTAAAAATATCATCTTCATCAAACATAGCATCCCCAAGCTTATGGCTCTGCGTATCATTAGCAACATGGATATTCAAAGAATTCATAGTAACAACATTGGAATCATGCTCATCATTCAAAGACTTAGTGCCAAACTTTTTATTGACTTCTTCTTCTAACACTTTGGCACAATTTTTCGATCCATCATTTTCAAGCAGGACATTATAAAGATGAATTATACATGGCAACCTAAATTTTCTTTTTTTGTCATTTTCTTTTTTAAACCAAATTAGTGATAAAACAAGAACTAAAAGATTCAGTTGCAAGATCTAAAGATATATCTTCAAACACTCACCTCCCTCGGCAACGGCGCCAGAAAAGAGTGTGATGTCTACTACGCAACCTTTCTTCTTGCAGGATCATGTTGGGCCTCCAAGCGTAGAGTTTTGTAGGACAGTAGCAAATTTTCCTCAAGTGGATGACATAAGGTCTACCAATCCGTGAGAGGCGTAGGTTGAAGATGGTCTCTCTCAAACAACCCTGCAACCAAATACAAGAAATCTCTTGTGTCCCCAACACACCCAATACAATGGCAAATTGTATAGGTGCACTAGTTCGGCGAAGAGATGACGATACAAGTGTAATATGGATAATAGGTATAGGTTTTTGTAATCTGAAAATAAAAAATACAGCAAGGTAGCAAGTGATAAAACGGAGCACAAACGATATTGCAATGCTTGAAAACAAGGCCTAGGGGTCATACTCTCACTAGTGAATGTTCTCTAAACAATGATAACATAATTAAATCATATAACAATCCCTCAACGTGCAACAAAGAATCACTCCAAAGTTTCTATCGAAGAACGTAGGACGCAAACGTACATCAACCCCTATGCATAGATTACCCTAATGTCACCTCGGGAATCTGCGAGTTGAGTGCCAAAACATACATCAAGTGAATCAATAGAACATACCATTGTCAGCACAAATATCCCATCGCAAGACATGCA